ATAACAGTTTTATTCATTTATTATTATTTTGTGTGTTGGGGCCAGTGAAAATTGAATCACTGAATTAAACCAAAAATCTCAAATCAAATTGAGATATTGTGAATTGAAATCGAATCGGGACATCTGTATCGATACCCAGCCCTAGAAAAGACATGATTGACATGACAATTTTGTTTCAAAGATGAACAAAAGTCTTATAGGTTTGGAATGACATGAGGGTGAGTAAATGACCATTTTCATTTTTCGGTGAACTATCCCTTCAATTCCTTATTTCAAAACTTTAACTGCCAGTTAAATTATATGTTGAACTTGAATGATCTCCGTTCCAAAACCTAGTGAGCTGCCTACATAAGAAGCATTTTAAGGGGGGGAGAAAGTAGAAATGCCTTATGCAGTCAAAATACCTATTAAATATTTTGGCCACATTATAAAGCACCATTGCATGCAAGCATCCTTCATAAGAGAAGGCAATCCCATAATGCACTGCAACTGCTGCAGTGAAATGAAATCCATCCAAGAGGTTGTCCAAGAAAGAGGATTTGATTGATTGATTATTGTATATATATATATATATATAAAATTTAATGTTTTTTTTATTTGCGTTGTTAGCTTAGCAAGATGCTAATGCTAAACACATTCCATTTCAGTTAGGATGCTGCTCAGAAGGCAGCTCACTAGTTTCTGGAACAAAGCAACCCATTTTCAGCCTTTTTAGATTTAAATTAAGAGATATAAACAGCATGAAAAATTGGCCTGATTTGGCACACTGTAAATTATAGATAAAAATAAGCCAGACAAATCAGGATTATTCATTAGGTAATGGATAGAAAGTGTAAGGAGGAGTGTCTGGCATGACTTACCTTGTTCTGTTGTCTTGGAAGGCTGTAATGATTTGGACCAATCAATCAATTAATCGATGCTTCAGATTCGTCTCACACACGCGCATGCACACACACTTGTAAGGTTCGGCTCTCTGGCAGACGTTCTAATTACAAAAAGTTGCAAAAATAAAGGACAAAAAGCAAAACAAAAAATAAAGATATTCAAATAAAAAGGCAAGTGCAGGTGTATGAACACTTCTTTTGGGGGGAAAAAAGTTAACAAAGACAAGAGAAAGACTAGGTGAACGGGGGGAAAAAGATCAGGAGGGAGGGATTCGGTCTGCAATTGACAGAAAGAAAAAGGTAAAAACTGAAAAGCCCTCTCCGCACCCCAGAAGAGGAAGAGGTGCGGGGAGGATGAGGAGGGCTTGGCGCAGCGTTGGGACGTGTGCTTTTTCAAAGCTGTTGAGTAGGCACAAACTTCTTGTCTCAGATCAGGTCTCGCCTTCGCTGTTAACGTTGATGGTTGGTTGCTACGCTCGTTGCGGCCTGGTTCTGTTTCTTAAATCTTTGGTTTGCTCGTTTGGTTGCTTCGTGTTGCTTTAGTTTTCTCGTTTTGTAGCAGTGCAGTTCTTCGTCTTGGTCTTCAGAGTTGTTGTACCGTTGGGTCGTTTTGGGGATGTTTGTTGTGTTTTCTTTTTCCTTGACGTTTCTTCTGACCGATAGATGATCTGAACTTGAAGTAGGTTTCAGATGGTACAAAAATCAATTCGGTTTCACTTCATACTGTTTAGGGAAAGAAAACAAAAAGGATATTAGATCACAGACAGATAAGTTACACATTAAATGCATCTAGTCTAATATACACTATATTGATTGATTTCTGGTCTAATTTTGCCCCCTACAGCATTGAACACACCCTCAAGAAATGATTTAACAATCAATCCCCTCAGTCACATTCATTTCATGTGGGTTAAAACGGCATGTTACTCTCCTGTTGATACACAGCCCTAAAAATAAAGTTTCCTCAGAGGCCTGGTGTAGAGAGTGAGCAGCTGACTGAAAACACGTGGATCAACAAGTCTCAGCGTGAACCCGCAGTTGGCTGAGCATTTATGGAATACATTCAATTCAAGCGGTTAACAACTGCAGATATCCAGCATGCCAATCATACAGTTCCCTCTGGTCTATTACACAAGAGGTGGGAGGATCAAAGAGCTTGATATATAGGCCAGTTCACAACTTGATATGATGGATCAAGTAAAGGCTTAAAATGGATGGAGACAACATCTTACATAGCTTGCCAATTTCGTACACAAGAAACAAAGAGATAAATATTTTAAGTTACAATAAAACTGAAATAGGGACAGATCTTTTCCTCCATATTGTGAAATACATCCGAGTGTAACAATTTATCGAAAGAGGAAAAAAATGTAGGGCAGGGACTCAGTTCTATGCATTGGTTGTTGATTTGATTTTGTACTCAAAAGTGTAGGCAGATGATCTTGCAGGAGCAGGTTTAAGCAGAATTAACTACTGGAGAAGTCCTGCATACTTTAGAGAGAAGTCTGCCATTTTCACTGGAAGGCCCAGTTATGACATTATGATTAAACATAACGAGATCAAAACATTTTTTTAAACATATGCATGGATGAATTTAGAACAATAACACAACAATACATTGAGAAAATAGTTTTTTTTTTAATTTCATGCTGATTTTAAAATGGAAGTCATAGGCAGAATTTGACCTGTTCCCCATTCTATGGAAGAAAAACACAAATAGTGCCAGACAAACAAACATTGAGAACACATTGTGTGCCTAGATTTACAACCTCGTGGTTCCAGTGACAATTAAAGGAATAATTCCCTTTAAATAATAATTCAGATAATTCCAAAAAATATTAATTTTAATACACTTATGGTAGGCTATATTATCTTGTCGTTTTACAGCTTTACAACTACTCGTTGTCACTGTATGTGATTGTATAAGTTGGCGATTTCGAATTTTAGAAAAAAAAACAAAAAACAAGCACGAGGGAACAAATTGCCAGGAGTGTTGGAATTAAATAAGGGAGAGAAACTTACAATTGGCTGAACTATCCCTTTACAATTAAGTAAAAACAATATTGTAAACATGTCAAAATTGGTACAATAAAAATGTGTGGAAAAACAAGTGAATTTATCCCGAAGTTCATAGGCCTAAGCGCGTGACGTCGACACCCTCGAGCGCGTGCTGCTCAGCTGGACTTGACAGCGGCTCAAATAAAAGCTACAAAGTATCGGAACCACTGTTCTTCGTTCACAAGTTTCATTAGAATAAAAGAAACGGCAGGTTTCTACAGCATGCGTAAACAAAAAATTAGGACATTAAACTAAGTGACGCAAACAGCGCTTGAGCAATAGCCGGGAGTGGATCCATCTGGATCTCATCCAAAGACAAAATCACTAGCAATGCCATTTCAGACAAGACTGAACTCCGACGAGCATTTCAGAAAGTGCACTGTGAGGATAAAGACTAACAACAAACGGTTAAAAGACAATCTTTTCAAATATTTCAAATTTAAATGAGAAAATATGACCGTTGCCAAACTTTTTAAACAAGGCATTTCCATATCTTATTCAGACACAAGTGGGAAACCATGGAAAGGGTTTTAACAAAGAATTGTACGAATATTGCTATTACAAAGAGCAAGTTCTTTCTCCGAGTGCGGCGGAATATTAGTTGAAGCATATTTTATTCATTATAAAATGTTTTTTTTTAGAAGTTTTATCTTTTTTAATTACTTTCCAGGGCCTGCAAAATCACAATTTCCAAATTTCCTGTTATTTTCATGTTGTCATGACAATGGAAACGCTAATTTTAGTAGTAATTCGTTTGGAAAACAAGTAAACTCGTCTCCTGTCCTGACAAAAGGGGGTTTGAGTTGTTTAACTCAAGTAACTAACTTATGTGTCGACATAGAGGTATAGACTATGATCCAGACGGGCTTAAAATAAATCACTCATCCCGACAACAAAGGCACCCGGGGCGGCTGTCGGGTCACGCTGGACCGCTGCTGTTGCGTTGGATGCTCGACTGGGCAGTTCATTTCTTGACAAGTGACCTTTGCACAACATCGCCCATGACGGATGTGGTCAAAATAATACGTGTGTATTCATGGTTTAAAGCGACTCTTCCCCAGTATCAGCGAAGCGCTGGCTAACATGCTAAACCGCTAGAACACACGCAGAGGAAACACTGCCCCCACCCTCAACCGTTTAACTGTTCAAAAACACGCACGGGTATTTAGAAAGAGTAATATAAACGCAAATGTCGGAAGCTCATACATTCATATACCCGTGTGAAAATTGTGACATCACAACATTTAATAAATATAGAGGAAAAACTCACCCCAACAGCTTTCAGCACTGTCACCAGCGCCGCCATAAGCAGCACGGCACATTACGTAGTGAGGGGCTGTGCGAACTCTCGCGATATTAAAACAATACCGTGTGAACTGTGGGGGACACGTCTGGGTCAGACGTCACTGTAAAGTACAGATAACTTCTGTTCTACATTTCCACTGTTAACTGTTTTTATATACTATCAGTGACCCAAGCTTGGACTTCTTGTATCAGATTTTTCCTAATTGATAGAAAATCCCCAACTAACTAAAAGTAGGACCTAACAATTAACCCACCAAAACACGTTTTACTGTGGTGGTGTATGACATGACATTATGGTAATGCTATTTTTCGTTTTTACATGTATTTTGGTAGTACACGATGTTCTTTTTATACTTCAGAATTCCATAAAATAACATCACAGTACACCACATGGCTGCACTATCACCATGACATGAGTGTAATTGTCTTTGGATAAAAGTGCCTACTTGTCAGAGAACAAAGTGACCTAAGTGCTATTGAGTAATGCAAAAGATAAAATTCAAGAAAAAGAGTCATGTTGGCAATTTTTTTTATTAGAAAATAATAAATATTATTGTCAGACCTAATCCACTCCTTTAGGTAAAAATATGAAACATGTTTACCATTCTAAGACATGTACTATAAAAGTGGCTATAACATGGTCACACTAAAAGAGACTATGCTTTATTCTCTATATGAACCCATAAAGAGCCGAAAACTGGCAAAAAAATAGATACAAGTAACACTTAAGATGAACTGCTCACTGATTTTGATTTTAATCAAAAATTTTACCTAATCTAAATCAAAATAAAAAGAACAAGTATCATCATATTATGACAAAATTATTCTTGTAACCATGAGTCGTAAGGCACTTTTTATGGCACTCTTCTCCATGTGAGGGACAGAAGGATGGATGTGGTAACGCTGATTGTTGAAAACGGCAGTCTATGGTTTCTCAGCAAGCATCCACCATATTTCATGTTCAGGTTCAGTGAATGACCCATTGATTGTTTTCAATACTATAGCATTCTCTTTAAATGAGCCAATAAAACACAAAACAGCCAAACATCACCCAATGGCTCGCCCAGTTTAGCTCCGACCACTTTTGAATGGTGTGACTGGCCATGTAACCCTGTGTGGAAACAAAATACTGCGATCAAGCAACTTTTACTAATTGGATTTGATAGATTTTTATTAGTAGTTGATTGTTTATATTAATACAAAATTTAATTATTAAATTGTATATGAAAAAAGAATGCATATAAAAAATGTCTCACCTCCTCAGCGTGCATGTTGTCCATTTCAGAGTCAAAAAGTGATCCCAAGTATGTCAGGTGGAATATTGACAATGCACTGAAGAACATGTTTACACCATACACCCACACAGTCTACAATAAGAAAAAAGAAAAAGAGATCTCAATTCAATAATATAACTTCATAAGGAATTGCACTGGAAATCCATGAACTACAGATTTCACAATACACAAACATTTGATCCTGGAGTGCAGGACTTGGTTAAAATAACAGATCACCTTCTTATTTTGGTGATGGCAGTCACTTGGACAGCGCTTTGACAGTATACAAGCACTGAATATAGCCGCCAACCGCTTTCTCAGGACTACAAGAAAAACCAAAAAACAAAGAGTCTGTATTTCAGTCCTGTTACCTAGACTACTGATGTCATGTCACTTCAAATACAGATGAATGTCATATCTACTGGAATGTGTGTCATGATGACTGTATGCATTAACATTAATATGTTAATATAATTGATTTACTGATTGTATCAAAGCTCTGGTAATTTTATTGATGGCAAGAATGCATGAATGAACTAAAATTATTGTTTACCATGTTCAACGTAAGTGATGAATCCCAAAGACAGAAGCACGGCCCCTAGATGAAAGCTGAGACCCTGTCAAACAACACGTAATTAATTAATGATAGAAATACACTACAAATCAAATTACTGCTATCAAAAGTTTGGGGTCAGAAAGGTTTTTTTTCCTTTAAATTCTTAATACTTTTATTCAGCAAGGATGCATTAAATTGATCAAAAGCAACTGATACATTTATAATGTTACAAAAGATTTCTATTTCAAATAACTGCTGTTCCTTTGAACATTTCATTCATCAAAAAATCCAAAGCAAATGTATCAAAGTTTCCACAAAAATATTAAACAGCACAACTGTTTCAACATTGAAAAATAATAATAAAAAAATCTCAACCAAATCAGCATATTAGAATGATTTCTGAAGGACATGACACTGACTGGTGTAATGGCTGCTTAAAATTCAGATTTGACATTACAATAATAAATTACATCTTAAATTGTAACAATATTTAACAATACTACCGTTTTTACTGTATTTTTGAGCAAATGAATACAGCCTTGGTGAATATAAACTCAAACTTCTTTAAAAAACATTACAAACTCTTATTAAACCCAAGTGAATTGACTGAATATATAAGTTCTGAAAATTACAATGTCCTATATTAACCACCAGAGGGCTTCACTCAACTACAAAATTTTAAGGAAGCATCCTTGTCACTGATATAGTGCCGGTTGATTACTGTCCTGTGAAGTTCTAAAAAAAATCAAAAAAAAAAAAAAAAATTCACACAATGTTAAAGGTGTTTTAATATCATGCTTTTTACTAATTTTTGACCCACCCCCATCCCTACAACCAAACATCCTTTCTCTAAAACACATTAATAGTCAGCGAACCCAAACAGATTCACATTCACACTGTGTTTTTGATTGGCTAAAAAATGAAACAAAAATTTAACTTTTTTTACACTTACAGAGACATTCTGATACATGTATATCTAATAATTCGTATAGATTTTATTCTTATATAGCTTATTTACATTCCTAAAGGCCAAACTGGTATTACAGCATGAATGACTTTATCATGGCTACACAGTGAGTAACATGCACAACTACAACAGCTCACTAAGGTGACAAGGAATAAGCTGCCAGGGTAGGCAGCTGTGATTGAATTATCTATCCACAACAGCTGTAGACAGCAGTTTAAATCTGGGTCATGGTGTTCAGAGATAACAAACCATCTTTATCCAAGCTGTCATGTTAGAGGGAAACTGTTTTCTGGATCAGGTGTTGTTTTATTCTTATACAAACCCAAATCTGTTTAAACAGATGGAACCTGATTCTGTGCCAACAAACCTTCCTAATAACCAGAGAGCTGAAAATCATACTTACATGTAACAATGCACTGGCGGTGTAGGTCACCAAGATGGCAGGAAAGGAGCCAAGTTTGAGTGCATTTTTAAAGACGTCTGTGTGGTAAATTGTACAGAGAGAACATTAATATATAACATATGAATCAGTAATACATCACAAACCGGGATAAATATACATACATGCGTTAAGCCACTTGGACATGGGCAGATTCCAAGAGGTAACAACTTCCACCATAGACCTCGGCAATTCCACATTCATAGGTTTAGCTACTGTAATATCCCTTTGAATTAACACGATGTCACATTAGGTCTCAATAATTCTTATTTTACAAAGAAAGAGAAATAAAGAGAGAAAAAGCATGAGTACATGCCATTTTAGGTGGTCTTTGTGCTCAGAGAATCCAGCTCCAGCCATCACAGTGGTTGTTTCACTCAAGTAGCTGACAAAATAATTGCTGAAGTGGAAGGACACTGCATTTTCATAAGCGTGAAGCCACCTGAGGACAAAAGACCAATAAAAACAATATTAAACAGACAATTTCATTTCCTCTGAATATGGAATCTCTGAGGAAGGGAGGGAAGAGCAGCTCACCTACGAGGAAGTCCATCTCCGTAGATGGGAATGAAGTAAGGAAAGAGATAAGGAGCAATACAGTTGGAAATAACCAGGCAGATCTGACTCCTCAGAAAGCTCAGAGCAATCTTTCCGAACCAGCCAAGGCTCTGCAGGAGATAGTTAGATAGTTACTGAATAACAAGCTCTTTGCTGATGGAAATGCGCTCAGCACAAATCAAGATTATCTTCTCTTCATTAAAGAAAAATGCAAAACACATTCAATTCATTTTAATGTCAATATTTGCATATGCATGTAAAGAGACTTTCTGAAAACTGTATTGAAACCATATGTATTGGAAAAATTGCTATTTGTACATATATTTTTATACAGTTATAAAGCTAGGGGTCGGTAAGACTCTTATGCTCACCAAATTTATATATTTATTTATTATCAAAATAGAGTAAAACATGCAATATTGTGAAATATTATTACAATTTAAGATAACTTAATAAATATTAAAGTGTAATTTATTCCTGTGATGGCCATTTCTCTAGTCTTCTGTCACATGATCCCTCAGAATTAATTTTAATATGCTGTTTTGGAGCTCAAGAAACATCTTATTATTATCTAGGTTGAAAACAGTTGTGCTGGTTAAAATAGTGGATTTTCAGGATTCTTTATTTAATAGAAAGTAAAAAAAAACAGCATTTATTTGAAATATGTTTTTTGTGACTATGTAAATGTCTTTACTGCATTTTTGGATCAATTTAATCATCCTTGCTGAAAATGAGCCTTCATTTACTTAAATAAAACATCTGACCCCTGTGTACACATAAATAAATGTTCACATTAATATTTACGAAAGGAGATAATAAAAGATAGACTAAAATAGATGGTAAAAATAAGTGAGCTCACAGAAATAAAATTATATAAAAATAATAAAATACTTCTAATAAATACAAAAAATACATTTATTTACCATTTTTTGTCCATTAATTGCATCTGTGTAGCGGGCGAAACTGATCCATGGGCCAAAGATGACGGTTCCAGGAAAGTAGAGGTATCCCATGAACTCCAGTGGGGAGGGAAAGGAGGACACAGCGCCTCGATCAAGGTCAAAGGCCAGAGAGATGGCCTTCATGGCCACCACCATCTGAGAGCCTGGACGCAACCAAAACAGTCAGTACGGGATGTGATGCGATGGTGAGTGACATTTGAGGAAAATAACATGCGTATAAAAAAAAAATAGCTTGAGTAAAATATGCAGATGTATAATGAATCAATAAAGACACACCTCTCATCTTATGCCAGGTTGCTGCATCTATCATATGAAGCTCCCTATAATGAAAATTAACAAAATATGTGACCACTGGTGATCAAATACTAGCTGCGTCTAGTTTTTCCAATTTGAGCCAGGCAGTTTTCTGTGTTCATTAAGCCCTAGCTATGCAGTGGATGACAGACCCCATCAGCATGTAGATGAGGATGACGACGGAGAGGAAGACCCCTCGGTTGCTGGAGTTTATGCTGAGGAGCAGGATGAGGTAGCAGAGGAGACTCAGGATAATAACCCACATCGTGTGCAGCTCAAAGAACACGTACAGCACATACAGACCGCCTGCCAGCGAGCTCAGATGCTTCACATGACACGAGACACCTGTCAAACACAGACACGCCATTAGCATCAAGACTCAACAGATGGACCGATTCAGTAACATGAGTTCGATATAACAAGATCAAGTGTGGAAATTTGCGCTACAATTAGGGCTGCACAATGTTGGAAAAACTGACATTACGAGATTTTGTTTATCTGCAATATATATTGTGATATAAAATAATACAGGAATATTCACCAGATGACTTGAATAGCCACTGATAATGAAAACCTTAAAAATGACTTTTTACTCAGAAGACTTTTTTAATGGCAATTTTTTTTTAGCACCGAACGATTTAGGAAAAGCTTCACTGTAATAAAAATATAATATTAAGTTGTAATTAATAAAACAAAGAAAGCACTCTTTGTGTGATTATTTGTGAAATTTACTAGCAATTTCGGAGTGAAAATGTCTAGTATATCTTACATTTATTATGGTAATTATTAAATTAAATAAAACTATAAAATAAAATTATTTTACTATAAAATTACAATACCGATATTTACACCTCAATGCTGTATCGTGAACTATACACGTGTAAATGATGAGCTTTACTCTGAAATAAGTACCACACATATATTTATTTGATTAAATCACAACCTGTTCAATTTGTCAATCGCACTAAGCCATAATATGATATTAATTTTATTTCGATATATTGTGCAGCCCTAGCTACAATACATTTTGCTGTGAAACGGATGACAAAAAGCACTGAAGTTAGCCATACAAGAACCATCTAGGCCACGCTCCCATCCTTTGGGGTAAGACTAACAGTCTCACAGGTGTTTGAGGGCTGGGGTTGTGCACGATGGACTCACCTAGTCTGCAGATGACCCGACACAGCAGGCAGAGGAGCAGAAGCTGCCACACCTGCTCTAAACCCTGCTGGGCAGTGGGTAGCACACAGCCCTCTGCTAGAGCCTGCAGGAACTCCACACGTCCATAGGAATCCATAGTAATATCCCCAGAAACGCTGTTACACACAGACTGGGACAAGACAGGAGAAACAGTATTATTCTAGTGTATGGTTATTGGATAGATTTATCGTAGGGCTCAACAAGGGCTATAGTGTGAGACAATTTCAGGCCAGTTAATGGAAAAGTCAGCTATTTGCCCAGTGCTGCATTGTCATTAAATCTTACATATGTTTATCTTGTGCCTTTCATAAATTTGCATGGAATACATTAGGTTTTTAATGACGCATTGACCTTTTTTGTTGCAAATGTGCTGATTTAAATGTGTCAACAATGCAACGTTATCTAGCTCATCTATCAGTAATATTCTGCATCATTGCACTGTTTGCTAGCAAAGATGTGTTTATGAATTATAACTGTAATTGAGTTTTTATAAGCAATATATATATATAAATATACATATAGACACACATATAAACATACATATATGGCAAATAATATCTAGACACATCTTCGCAATGTGTGTGTGTGTGTGGGGTGTGACAAAAATATTTATGTCTATGGAATGTGATGTCCCCATAAAACATGAAAACCCAACATGTGTTATGGAACACACATAAATACTTTGCTAAAAATAATAATAATCTTTCTGTGTTGGGACTAGTGAACATATTGGCATTCTGTAGGTTAGAATAGGTTAAAAAGTATAAACCAGTCACTGATGTTCAGATTGTTTTCAAGTAAAAGTGTGTTCTTGAATATATATCTATCCTGAAATGAATTATTTTAATTATTAATTTATTATTGAATATTGTTATATTGCAATATCATTTATTTTCTATTATTTCTAATATATTTTATTATTTTGCTTATAAGCTAATACAAAATATATATATAATGTCTATGGATGGGGTTAATGAAAATGCTGGCAGGGCAGGTAAATATCTGAAGTACTGGCCCATCCAGGAAAGCAGGGGGGAAATCCTTGTAGCAAAACCTTGTTGTTGAACCCTGCTTTATGTAGTCCAGGACTGACGGGGAAAGAGCATTTCTGGAATGACAATCCCTGCATGATAACTGGGCCAGTCTGTGTTCATATAACCGTTTCACATCCCCTTTATTCCTAAACAGAGGTTGTTATATAATGCAGCTGTATGTGGATGAGAGACGAGCTTTAGCCCTACAACATCACTGACTATCTGAGATTCGTTGAATTTGCATGTCATTTAAAAGTAGTTCATTTCTACAAGTTTTATCCTATAGGAACGGTGTTTTGTTTCAGTCCCTGTACACAGATATGCAACCTTTTGCTTCGTACAAATCAAAATTATAATTCATCGAGATTCATGAACTTGCAACCGAGTTCAAAGAGTTGTCGCGGCGACATGACACCCAACTAAATAGCTAGACTGTGAACGAAGAGCTCGGCTCACTGCTGCACTTCCACGCGATTCTTACCGATCTCCAGAAGCACAGAAGTATCCTGCGCTACAACCTCACACCCGGAAGTAGGAAGAGGATTTTTCCAGTGGATTGTGTCGTCCAGCTTATCAAGGTGTCTTTTCCATTCCGTTAGCACGATCATAAACATCTGTGAGACTCAGTGCAGAGACGCAGCCGCTGTCGTGGTAATGAACACACCGGAGTTCAACCAAACTTGACTCCCGCGCGCGTGCTGCTTCTGCGTTCACCGTTCACTTCCTCCGCACAGCCGGCGGAGGTGCTGGAGTGCCTGGGATTTATTTATTTATTATGGGAAGGATGAAGCATGCGATGCATTTTCTGGTTTCCTTTGGATTCATTTAAAAATAATTGTAAGTTCTTGATTCAAATCGCGCTTATCTGTTTCCACCCGGGTTTCCTCTCCTTGTTCCTAAAGATACTGTTGAAATTACTCAGGAGAAATTTCATTTATTATTATCTGATGAAATTGAATTGCTCATTGTTTTTGCTTATTGAAGAAAATCCGTTTATGTGCCTTATCGGGGAAAGTAGGGCTGTTTGTCACTCGGGGAAAGCTTTCAATAGTCAAAACTCCAAATGCATAGGCTAATCTTGTTTTCTCTAGCAGTAGCCTATCTTCGTTGGTTTCACCCTCACCACCTCATTCAAAAACTAGTACTAAAATAATTATTTTCTAATTGTAAATGAACTAAAATTCCAATAGCAACACATTTTTACTAGCTATTTACCCAGATACACATGGGGCCTACATCTGCAAGATGTCTGTTAAAGAGCACTTAATCTGGAATTGGAAAGCATCTGCTGTGTACAAACATCTTAGAGACGTCTTTAAGATGTCAGTTTTACATAAATCATAAACATCTTAAAGACATTTTCTAAATGTATATTTAACGTCTGACAGGAAACGTCATAGAGACCTCTTCCAGATGTAAACACGCACACCAAATAGACATCTCTGGGATGTAGCCTATGTGTGAATATTAGGAATATTAATAAAAAAAAAAAAAAAAAAAAAAAAATAATATTTTAGAACTAGTTTTTTTGGCATGACTTTTGTCAGTTCCGATACATTGTGACAACTTACCATGCATGTATGGAGACAATTAATGCTGACTATAGTCACGACTCACAAAAGTAATTTCTTCTCTTTTTTTGAAGTAAAATACATCTCCATTCCAAGGTTGTCTAAGCAAAAAAGTATATACGTTTTAACAGTGGTTTCGCAGTTACATTAGTACGAGCTGGTATTTTCACTTATAAGCGATAATTAGGCGCTCGCGAACAGAAATCATATGTTCGCCTGAGGATGTAACCATAGCAACAGTAGACTCATGCAGTACACACAACACATTATTATCTGTAATTTTATCATAAATTTATAAACCACTGTGTATCTCAAAAACATTAGTTTAATTCGCACAATATGTAAAACCAAACAATTAGTCTAAGCAATAAACAAAATAATAGCCTATTTAATAGCATTATAAAAAATAAACATTACATAGGCTACTGTACAAAACATAATAATATTTTTGTTCAGTCACGCACAATGTAATTCATTTGGAAAATAAATAGCTTTGATGAATTAGCTTAATGACACCCACACATTTTGACGATATTTTTAATGCTGTTTTGACTGGATACATCTCCTCATTTAGGGATTTTCAACTCTCATCCAGCTACAAGTGAGACAACGTGACACTTGTTTCCATGGTAATTGTTCATATGACACTGGACAAGCTCAGTCTAAATTTAGTTCCTATATGCAAGACTGCTGTCTCTCATTTCCTGGAAACCTTTTGTAAATGTAAACATCATTGGCGGTAGCCTACTGTCAGTTGAAAGCAGACATAAATACAAATATTTATATTATTTTGAAAAAAATCAGCTGGGTGGTTAGATGAAAGTCACGTTGGGATAAAATAATTCAGCTGATTTAAGCCACATGTGCGTAATCGAGATACGAGAAGCATTTCACAGAATTTCAGGGGAACAAAACTCCATAAAGGCGGTAACGCCCTATAATCTATTTATTATTCTGTCAAATGAAAAACAAAACAAAAAAACAGAAGAAGAAGAAGAAAAAAACAGTCAAACCAAGATGCACAAAATTATGAAGCAATTACACATACTGTCTTCCGGCTGAGAAAGTGTAGTTACAGCTGCTGTGCGCTGGATGTCGCTGTTGCTCACATGGCAAAAAAACCTTTATGTCTGCATGAAATGAACTAACCCAATCTGTTGTCTAAATGCATGTTATATATCTTATTGTGAAGAATTCATCCATGTATATGTTTCTTTTATTTTATTTGACCTCGTAATTTTTAGTAAAAATGTCATAACTTTGATGCCTTCAAATATAGCATTTTCTGAGTAGGCTAGCCTACCGTGAAGTTGTTTGCCCGAAAGTTGAAAAATGTATTCAAAGGAAGGAAGGCATCAAGGCACATCTAAATCCAATGTTAGCTTCACTTCCTGTCTCCTGAGATACCTTACTTATTTTTTTTTTATTTAAATTAATTTGATAGATTTGTATTCGAGTTAGACTATGTATTTTATGATATTTTATTTGACTGCTTTTGTAATTAGTTGTGGTTAAAAGTAGAGTAGGCTATTTTTTTTATAAACACTTTTTGTTCATCTAATTGAAACTCTCTTCACATCCTGCCGTGAGAGCGATTAGAGAGCAGACGCTCCGTATGCTTTCGAATATCGCTCTCTCGATACTTTGATGTCATACACTGATCGGTCTGCGAACAGACTTCTCTTTGGTGAATGGTGAAGGACTTCTCCAGCATTTAGTCTACTTTAACCACACCTCTCAAACTCAAGTTCATCTGCCTCCACTTTTGAGTGCAACGCCCCGAATCTTAAAATCCAATCAACAACAGAGAACCAAGTCACCTTTTTTTGTTCTTTTCCGAAAATCTGTTACACTCAAATGTATACGTCACAATAATAAAAAAAGATCTGCCACTACTATTTCATCACAACTTTAATTTCTGCCTGCCTGGACCAACTCTTATCTCGCTGCTCTGCCGATCTAATACACCTGGGGATTTTGAGCAAGGTTCATTCCCAGCAGCCAAACCCATGCAAACTGCTTTACCCTTCCCCCACTATGACCCATATGAGACAGGTACAGGCCTTGATGAATTAGGTCCTGAATCGCAACTCCAGCGTAAGCCTCGGCACGGCAGTCTGGAATGTGTGCAAGAGCCGCGACGTGACTGACACACATCAGCCGAGGAGGCTGAAAAATTAATTACAAACCAATGTGTTTGCCAGCCAGTGGGACGAGTTTGCCACATACAGATGTGAGATGGGAATGTATTGGGCATGCTGGGTAATTAAATGAACCGCGCTGTGCTGTCCTTGGAGGGAGGACGTGGGTTTGGGCCCTGGGGGTGGCCGACAGAGTTCTGCTTATTGCCTCTCTGCCCTCCAGAGAGACGAGAGATCCCCTTATTTACGAGCAGTTTGGCTCAATAATAGAGGAGCGGTGGAATTGATCATAATATGTGTCTGGGTCAAAAGGTCCAAGTTGATTTGAGATGTAGCACACAAGTGAATCGACTTAACTTGATAATAATGTGATGAAGCTATACTACAATAATGCAGAACAGAAACTAAACAGATGAAATCTGTATACTGATTAATAAAAAAATCTTCATTGCAAACTTACCTGAAAGTTGTATATAATTGGTCAAAGCATCATCCGCAGGGGGACAAAACACTTTACGGATCAATCTGTCCCTTAAGAATATTAGGTTGAGCCACAAACCACAATTACACATTTGCTTCACCACATTCCTCCTCCCCCATTCTCCTCCATCCTCCCCCAATCCATTCTCCATCTTGTCCATTCCACATACCTCCAGGCTCCTTACATGTATCCCATCCCCCCCCCCAAAAGCGTTGAGAGGAACAGATATTTTATGTAATGCAATGTGATTGTGTTGTGAATGTGCAAATGAAGGAACATCTGGTCAATATACAAGCGTCAAGTTTAAGATCACATCTGACAGTTGAATAACTCTATATATGGAATCATAGCCTGTAAACTGTGATGTCTGTTGCAGGTTGTGACATGATAAAGATCCTCTTCCTCATCGACAGACCTCTCCCTCGGATATAAATCTTCAGAGGAGTTCTGCCACAGCCTTGCGTTACATCTGCGCCTGCGTCTTTCATAGTGTTCGAGAGACATAGCAAGAAATATTTACATGAGCACAAAATTCTGATGAATTGTGAGCAAATTTATCTCTATATCACTTGTTTCCAAAGCATTTAAATCGTTTTGGATCAGTAAGGTCTTTCAGTTTTAGAATAATTTTGAGCTGTGGGCTATCTAATTAGAGATTTGTTTAAGCTGCGTAACTATGAATTGAATGTGAAATCCAATCTATTTCACTTTTTGCTTTACTGGCTAAATTTATTGCAACTTAAATTCTTGCATGTTAACTGGTGTGTGCTCGCATGAGATCTATCCTCAGGCTATTTTCCTGGAGAATCTCCACCCCCTCAGAAATAGAGAAAGGCTGAGTTTTCATTAAGATTGTTGTGGATTTCTCTTCACAACAGGGTTCCATATTTTCTCATTGCTGGAAGCATAATGAATTTACATGATATTTGAATGAGTTAATGAATTTTCTCAGCAACACTTCCCATGGGTTTGAGGGGGACCCTGTGGATTCATATTTGACAACTGTATATTCCATCGCAACTTTTTATTAAGGATGTTGATTTATGAACCTTAAAATTCATGAGAATTTATTTTATTAAAACATTTTATTATTCACTACCTTTCAAAAGTTTGTGGTTAATTAATTGTTTTGACAGAAATTAATACTTTACAGTAAAGACATTAATGATGTTACAAAAGATTTCTATTTTAAATAAATGCTGTTCTTTGTATCTTTCTAAAAAATATTTTTTTATCGCCATTTCCTCGAAAACATTAGGCAGCACAACTGATTTCAACACTGATAATAAAAAGAAACGTTTCCTAGCACCAGAGCAACATATTAGAATGATTTCTGAAGGATCATGTGACAATGAAGTGCTGGAAATTCTGAGTAAACTACATTTTAAAATATATTAAAATTGAAACCGGTTATTTTTAATCAAATAAATGGTGTAAATACAATTGATATTTCAATAGCCAAACATATTCAATAATAATAATACTGTCTAGGTGAGGGATTAGTTCAATCAAAATGAAAATTCTGTCATTCACTCTCATGTCTTTCA